AGAGTGAAACATCGATCGCTGCCTCCTGCAGGCCCCCCATCGAGGATCGAGCCAGCAAATGGGGCATGTGCTCGACTGGGAATTAAAGTGGCAACCGTACCATGTCTGGGAAGACATTAAAGCAGATTCTGATGAGAGCTCAGAAAGAACAGAGCGGTAGAGCAAGTTTCTATTGTCTTAGGGAATACATACGTCAACATGAACAGAACTGGCTAGGAATATGAGTGTTAATGGTACTCCTTGTGCTCTTTCAGATATTGGGACACAGACACAGACAGGCATGAGGCAAGATGATGTGAAGAGACACCGGGAGAAAGAGCCACCCACAAAGCAAGGAGAGGCCCAGCACAGACCCTGTCCTCACAGCCCTCAGAAGGAACCAGCTCTGCCTACACCTGGATTTTGGACGTCTAGCCTCCAGAACTGTGTGCCCACCAGATGTGTTGTTGAAGCCACCCAGTGTGTGGAGTTTTGTTCTGGCAGCCCCAGCACATTATTCCTGTGCTATGAGCCTCAGTGGTTTCTTACAGCCCATTTGTCACCAGTCAAGTGTGCCAGGAGCAGGTGCTGAGACAATATTTGGGGTGCAGAATGTTTATTAGGGATCAAACCTGTAAGAGGAAGAGGAAGGAGCCATCATAAGAAACAAATGCAAATGACATGACACCAGTTAACATATATGGCCAGCTAGTCCTGCTTTAAAAATAGAAAAAGCTCAAAATAATTAATATCAGAAAAAGTATAGATGATCTTCAAACTTGATTTATACCTATTACACTCTTTATTAGTTTATAGAGAGTATAACATAATTAAGGGTTTATCTATTTTCATATGGAGGGAGCTTTATAATCTACTAGTATAACTTGGATGGAATTTTTAATGCTAATAACAATATTTTATGAATACTAAGACAATACTAATATTTAGTTAGAATTTAAGTCAATATAATTTAAGGTAAATTTTTTTTCAAAAAAGGATGGGGAAGGGATTAAGATTGGGCAGAGGGAAAAGTTGAATGATAATGTACATGCAGGTACCTGAAGCCCATAGTTCCAGTAACTGTATTAACATGGACAGAGATATAAAGGCGACCGCCCAGATATAAAGGGGATCAGGTTCACTGGCCAGCCCCCAATGCCCACGGAACTGCTAAGGAAACTTAACTGAACGCGCACAGCAGCACTTCTAGTTCTCATCCTGAGCCTTTATAGGCTATGTAACCGTCTGTAGGCTGTGAGCCATCCGTCTGTAGGAAATGTGTTCCAGGTTCTAAGTCAATGGATGTGTGGAACACAACTCCTCTGTTAGCAGATTAGACACTTGCAGGAGCGTTAGCTAGATTTCAGGCAAGTCCCTTTAAATACTTTAAGCACCAGCTTGAGCCACTCGCTGCTGGGCCAGACATGCCACGGGAGAAGGCTCCCCAGGTCTTTCGTGTGGAGCTGGGGAGGGGCGGGTGCCTACCCCAAAGATTCCAGCCCTGCCTTTGAGCTGCCCCACTCACCCCACTGGGCCGAGACCCCGGTAGAAACATGAGGACTCAGGGTGTCAGAAGTCAGGAACAAGAGGGCAGGGGACTTTAGGGCCCATTCAGCCTCTGTGTGATTCTGGCCCGGCTGGGTCCTTGGTGCTGGGACCATGTGTTTTCAGAAGGAGATGGCAGTTGGGCCAATGGACAACAGAACATCAGAATGGCAGAAACAGCCTCAGGACTGGACCCAGAAGCTGTAACTACAGGAGAAAAACCCCACAACAAATTCCATACTATGGCCCTTATCCCTGGACCAGGGCGGGGAAGGAAGCAGAGACTCACCTTAACTTGGTGAAAACAGGGCAACGTGAAGAACACTGTGTAGTCAGGCTGAAAATTAAATAGATGTGAGTGTTTCTTTAATGCAAAGGTTTAATTGTTCTGATGGTTTCCATAACTTAATCTGAGCCATCACTTCAGCTTTAATTATGAATAATGAAATGGATTATTTGCAGTAACTAATATGACAGGGAAAACTGAGAGGTGAGAAATTGGTAACTTGGCAACTGTGTATTCATCATCTTCTCAGTCCATGTTTATTGAGTACCTACTGCGTTTCAGCCTTTGCCACGGTCCTATAGATGTGCTATTCAGGGGAAAATAGTATCATATACCCCAGACTCCGGGCCAGTTTCTTTCACTTCATTATCTCATGTCCTGCTCTAAATAATACCCCACACAGGTTATTTGCTTTGTATTTGAAGCAGGCAAGACAGTGATTAAAATGTACTTTTGGGAAATTAGCCTGACAGTTGTCTGTGGAATGCATCAGATGCTACTGAGATGGACCTTAGCCAAAGTGGTGGCAGCAAGACTGGGAAAGGGGCTGTAGGAGGCACCCCGGAGGCTAGGAGGGGCCTGCTAAGGCTTTGGATGTGGTGGGTAGGGAAGGAAGACAGCCTTGCTGCCCTGAGTTTGGGAAGCAGGGGACACAAAGTTCCAGCTTGGCCACTGACGAGTGGCTTAGCCTGGGGCCAGTCACTCAACCGCTCTGAGCCTTGCTTTCTGTGTGCCCGGAAGGCGCTATAACCAGCTAACTTCACAGTCTCAATTCAGGGGCACATAAACTGAAATGGTTTTGTGTTTTCAACCCGCCTCTGTTGACTCTCCCTTAATATCTTGCTTCCTGGTCATTTTCAGTTATTCATGGTCCACCACCGTTTTTAAGGCTTCTATTTCAAACTTGTCCTAAATCTCATTTCCTGCCGTCTCCCTGCTACTGGCTGCTGCAGCAGGGGGAGCTGGGACTGAGAGTTTGGAGCCTGGGCGAGTGGTGAGGTCTGGCTCCAAGAGACTCCCTCCCTCTTTGCCCTGGGGAAGGTTGAGGAGAAGGGAGAGGAAAGGTGAGTGTCCCCTTTTGCTGGCCTACAGTGGCTGGCTCTCACCATGACTGTGGCAGCTAGTGGCTCATACTGACTAACTGGCCAGCAGGGACCAAATGCGGTTTGCTTGTGGGGCACGCGTGGTCTTCAGAGCTCCTGTAGGACTCCTGCTGCTCATGCTCCTGGTGGGGGGATCCGGCTCAATGCCCCCTACCCTCCTCCTGCCCCTAGCCTTGAGCGTCTGGGCTTCCCTCCCCCAGCGGGCAGTTCTTGAGTGAAAGGAAGAGGAGAGATGGTCCAAGTCTGACTTCCTTCCACTGGACCCACGGCTATTGTTACTGCATGTCAAGGGCACAGGCTGCTCCATGGCCATCGCCCCCTTTGCTGCCATTGTTCCTTCTCTGAGTGGAGGCTGGACTCCAGCCCAGCTATGTTCCACACACCAGACCTGTAGCTGGCATGGGCTGCATGGGACAGGAAAGCACCATGTAGGGCAGACCTGCCTCGGAGGGGTGGGCACATCACTCCCTGCTGGGCAGAAGCCTCGTGCACGACTCCAATAATCTTCCTCCACAGACTTCTTTGAGGGCTAGAGTGGCAGTGGTGGTGATGGGAGTCAAAGGGCCGTGTCTATCGCCGCCTTGAAGAGGGGTCTAGTCCCAATTCTGAGTCCAATTGATCAATTCAGTCAGCAGAAAAATTCCCACTTCCCCACCCTCCTTCTTTACTGGACAGAGTGCCTGGCTATTGAGACCATCGTGGATGACTGCGCTCATGTCCGGCTTTTCCTGTCATCTCAGTGTCTCTTCGTTTTCTTTGCTCTTTGACTTCCCTATTTGGGGTTCTCTGTCCGCACAGTAGGTGTGGAATTTTGAGATGGACTCTGAGCTCACCAGGATGGGTTGGTTGGCCCCTTGGTTACCATGCACTCACAGAAGCAGGTAATCGAAGAACAAACATTCCTGCAGTGTTTAGAGTCTCCCTTAGTTACCTTCAGGCCTCTGTTTGATTTCTTGCATAGCAACAAAACGGGGAGGGGAAGATGAGCGACATCTGGAATGCACTTTGATATAAGGTGGGATTCCGCTCCTGGGTGATTTGCTGGAAGTGTGCACAGAGGTGAATTATCAAGTATGCTGGAAGCAGTCCTTCTGGTTCTCCTGGGGGCCATGTCAGGTAGGAACTCATTTTGCCCCCTGTTTGCTCTACTCAGTTTACAGGATATCATTGTATGATAAAGTCCTTAAAAAAGGAAATTGCCTCCGGGAGGCTTAGATTAACTGAGGGCTTATCTGCACTGATGAATGAAATGGTGTAGCAACAGGAGCCGCAGGAGGTAGGGGTAACCCAGAGAACGGGGTGCCTATAGAAGCCACAATCTAGTCCATGTCTGTATAGAATTCACTTGCCCTCTGGTGTGAACTGGCCTGAGCTGGAAGTCCTTCCAAGATCCAAAGTTGGGAAAATTATTTTCATAGCAGAGCTTAGTGTTGTAGAAGAGGAAATTGTTTTTTCTACTCTTCTAGGTCATTTTAGCTGGTCTATTAATTGAATTGACATAAGACAGATTACCAATAGAAAAACAAGTTTAATTATGTACATATGGAGGCCCTATCCCCCCTCTCCTGCCCACCACACCTAGCCCATATGCTTTGTAGTTATCTTTGGTGATAGCTCTCTTCCTAGACCAGGCCCTCTATCTAAACTCTTCTAGAAAGTTAAGGGGGAGGTTTTAATTTTATTTATTTATTTATTTATTTATTTATTTAAAAAAGCTATTCCTGAATCTTTTGGGTCTCTATGCCTTTGGCTCAAAATAGTCCCCATGTCAAAGTGGCATAATCTAGGAAAATGTGTGCTGAGCCCCTTCAGTATATATGTCAAGTTAGTCTTTGTGGAGATTCTGGCCTTCCTCTGGAGACTTTTGGGGGCAACTTGAGCTTAGCAAATCCTGTCGAAAAATTGAGGTGCTAAGGAGGTATTGTCTTACTCTTGGGTAGAGAAAATGCCTTCTGGTTGAAGAGCCAAAGATTCTTGAGCATCTTTTTCCTTATTCCACAGCTTCAAGAATCTTAGAAGATCTTTTTAATGTTGTCAGCTCAGATTATTGAAATTGAGCTTTTTATTTATTTTTCTTTTATTTTTTATTGAAAGAAATCAATCTTTTTTATTGATTTTTTGAGAGAGAGAGAGAGAAACACTGATGCATTGATGTGTGAGAGAAACATAGCTTGGTTGCCTCCTGTACATGACCCGATCAGGGATGGAAAGCACAACCTGGGCCTGTGCCCTGATCAGGAATCAAACCTGTCACCTTTTGATGTACAGGATGAAGCTCCACCCAACTGAGTCACACCTGTCATGGCAGAAATTGAGCTTTTTAAATTAAATCTTATTTTTTGATAGGTAGCATACCCATAATGTATAGAATTCAATCATGTTAAATTTGCAGGTTAACTTAGAGATAATTTACATCTTTGATGAGTTACTTTAGTAAAACACTTAGAGGAGTGACTGGTACATAGTAAATGCTTAGTAAATGCTAGTCATTATTCTGTACTAGAGGCCTGGTGCACTCAGGGGGATCCCTCAGCCCGGCCTGGGCCCTCTTGCAGTCTGGGAGCCATTGGGAGATGTCTGACTGATTGCTTAGGCCTGCAGCAGTCAGTCGGACATCCTTAGCGCTGCTGCAGAGGTGGGAGAGGCTCCTGCCACTGCCGCTGTGCTCACCAGGAAGCAGCTCCTGCATTGAGCATCTGCCCCCTGGAGGTCAGTGCACATCATAGCAACCAGTTGTTTGGCTGTTAAGTCAATTTGCATATTAGCCTTTTATGCCTGCAGGATCGGGCCAAAACTGGCTCTCCGACATCCCCTGAGGGGTCCCAGATTGTGAGAGGGCGTAGGCCAGGCCAAGGGACCCCACGTCAAGCTAATATTCCTGCACAATTGCTTAGGCTGCTCCAAAGACAACCTCTTACAGAGAACATCACCCAAATCTAACAACAGAGTTGAGGGGCCAATTTCACACCAGGCCCCAGCACCATCTTGCCGCTTTGTGGCCTGGTCATAGAAAAACTATGATGCATCACATGTGCACAGTCACCTGACAAGTGTGGAGTGACGACACGGTAGTAAGTACGTGCAGTCTGTTATCTACAAGACCCAGATGCCGCGAGGGCCCACCGCAGCCGCTCACTGAGTGTAACACCTCCTGAGGCCGCAACACACACCTATGTTGTGTGTAGAGTGGACGGGATCAGGCAGTAAAGTAGCCAGCATAATGCCCGGTGAGTAGGTTCTTCATAAATGCAAGTGGTTACGTGTTTCAGCAAAGCTATCACTCACCACGCCGTTCTTGAGAAAAACCTGAGTGAGTTAAATCTGAGCAGAGGGGTCCTTTCTTCTTGGCTGGGGGGGCACACGTCCCTGGTGTGGGTGGGAGGGGCCAAGAGAAGGTGGGAAATTTTTGAGACAAATTGCCAACCCTTCATTTTGCTTATGACTGTCCTTGTCCCTCTGAATAGTGGGGAAACACGTTCATGAACAGCTCAAGGGGGGCGGGGGAGAGGGTTCTGCTGACTTCTTTATTGTGGGAAAAGAGGGCATGAGGAAATTATGCCTTAAAAAAAACCCAAGCACCAAAGCAACTGATTATTTTGCTCATCTTGAAAAACTATTTTTGGGAACATTTTGCCTCTAAATACTCCTGTATACTATTTTGCTTCGGGTTTTTAAATCACAAGAATGGTATAATACGAAAGTCAATTTTAATAGATTTAAAAAAATCTATTCGTATTCACATCGCCTTAAGCCTCAGCTGTTTTGATTTATCTGAGTCCTTGCACAGTCCTTTTACTCACAGTCCTTGTGAGTAAAAATAATTTAGCATAATGCATTTTAGTCTCTAATCTAAATAAGATGATTTTAGATTTATTACAGCTTGTATCAACGAATGTATTTATATTTCAATTTTTCCTACATTTCCATTATTTCTTTGCATCCCCTACCCCAAATTTGAAATAAATGCATTCTTTTTTAAAATAAAACCAACATTTTGCCATGTCCTGTTCGTTTCTAGAAATTTTACACCTACAATTTCTAAAATTCCAGAAATAAACAATTTATAAGTTTTAAATTGCTTGCTGTTCTGAGTAGCATGATGAACTCTCTTATCCGACATCATCCTGCTTGGCCCCACCCAGGACTTGAATTATTCCTTTGTCCATCATCTTCAAGCTGTAGACACCTCCCTCCCATCCCCATCCCATTAGTCACTCACTAGCTAACTCTTGGAGTACTGCAGTGCTTGTGTTCAATTAACCCTTACTTCGTAATGGGCACAAGAGTAGTGATGCTGGCAATGTGAATCTGCCAAAGAGAAGTCAGAAAGTGCTTTCTTTAAGCGAAAATGTGAGTACAGTATAATAAGATAATTTAGAAGATAAATTACATTTGCATAACTTTTATTACACTACTAGAGGCCCGATGCACAAAATTCTTGCAAGAGTAGACCTTCCTTCCCCCAGCTGCCAGCACCGGCAGACACGTGGGACCTGGGCTACTCTCGCAGCCCTGGCTTCATCTGGAAGGTCATTTAGAAGGATGTCTGGTCTAATCAGAATATTATGCTTTTATTATTATAGATATTATTATAATTGTTCTATTTTATTCTTAGTTATTGTTGGTAATCTCATGCTGTGCCTAATTTATAAATTAAACTTTATCATAAGTATGTATGTATAGGAAAAAACATTAGACTAACTATGGTTTCAGGTATCCATTGGGGGTTGTGGACATTATCTCTGTGAATAGGGAGGATACTGTATTCACTGTATGTCCTTTAGCTCAGTTGTATCATCTGTAAAATAATGACATTAATACCTATCTGAGAGGATGGTTTTGAGGAGTAAATGAGAAAAAGGATTTTACATTATGCACCTCTTTGGAACATTGGATAAATGATAATTTTATGATTTTCTTAGTACTGCTATAACAAATTACCACAAATTGGATGGCTTAAAATAACAGAAATTTATTATCTCACAGTTTGGAAGATCAGAAGTCTGAACTAAAGGTGTTGGCAGGGTTGGCTCCATTTAGGGCTTTGAGGGAGAATGTGTTCCGTGCCTACCTCCCAGCTTTTGGTGGTTGTTTACCAGCCCTGGCTTGTAGCTGCATTCCTTCAATTTCCTCCTCTGTCATAACATGGCCTTCTTCCTTCTGTGTGTGTCTTTGTGTCCTGTCCTCACAGGGACACCAGCTGTTGGATTTAGGGCCCATCTTAATTCAGTGTGACCTCCTCTTAACTAATTACACCTGAAAAGACTCTTTTCCCAAGTAAGGTACATTCTGAGGTTCTGGGTGGACATGAATTTTGGGGAAGACACTATTCAACCCCCTACAGTAACCATTATTATGGAAGCATGAAAAAACATGACCTGTTGCTCTCCTCTGTATTGGCAAAGTCTTGCAGAGTGTCAAGGAGACTTGAGAATGTCCTGAGGCATGCCTGGAAGAAACATACTTTCTCTTAAATTGTAAAGTTCCCTGTCTGTAATGAAGTCCAGAGTCGTTCACATGCCTCTCTAAGTATCTCATTTCCTTCTCTGTGAAACAGGAGTCAATCTATCAACTAGGAAGTACTGACGGACTCTCTACATGATGCCCATAGCATCCAATAAAAACAAATAACTGTCCTTAAAATTACTTATGACTGTGGGGAGGTCTACCATGGAGCTCTTCAGTCATGCACACTCAACTCTCAGATGACATCATGAATGAAACACTGACCCAGAGAAGGAAAACAAACTCTTGTAAAATACTGGGCCCTTGTAAAAGAGAGAATGTCATGGGTAGACTAGATACTTCAAGTGGGTGTCTATCTGCTAAGGTGATGTTTCTCTTCTCCTGGCTCTTCACAAAGATTGGGAGAGAAGAGAAGGGAAGCAGGGAGACAAGAGAAAAGCAGCAGCTTTATTAACAGGATGTCAAGAGCAGACTTCATGGTTGTTTGGTGGTGGTTGTTTTCTTAGCTCTAAGATTTCACATTCCCCTCTCCAAGTCTTGGCAGGAGTGTTTGTTCTTGGGGAGTGACCAGGTTCCATCACTGCTCTGAGCTATGAGTTGAAGCACAGAACAAGCTGTTAAGTCCCTGTTCCCAGCACAAAGCTTTGTGTTCATGTAATTTTTATCCTTTTTAAATCCACAGCGGGAGAGGCACTACACCTAATTCACTTACCTGCTACTAGTAACGTGGCAGAGAATTCTTCACCTGGGACTTCAGTGCACAAGTTTTCTGTGAAATTATCAGCGTCCCTGTCACCTGTGATGCCAGGGTTGCCCCTGATAATCAACACCAGTCCCCTCACTGAAGCCTTCACCGTGATCTCCCTGTCAGGCACCGAGTTTGAGGTAGGTACCATCTTACTCGCAATGGGAGTTACCTGCAAAGAGGAGTCCTGAAGATGAGAGGCCTGTGGGATTCTAGAACAGTGATCATTTCTTCCTCTTTCTCTAGTTTAATCTTCCTTATTCTAAGATCCAGAAGCCCTTTTTTGGGCATGCTAGAGCCTTCTGCTGCACTAGGTGCCCCTCTAGCCATGGAATCCTTTTTCTCTATTTAATCTAGTCCAACTGAACATTACAAATCATCTATAATAATAAAAGCGTAATATGCGAGTTAGACCAGACAGCCGAACGACCTTCCAGACGTCATTCCAGATAAAGCTGTGGCTGTGGAGGCCAAGGCAGAGATGATTAGGGGCGATCAGGCAAGAAGGCCGAGGTGGTTAGGGATGATCAGGCAGGCAGGTGAGCGGTTAGGGGTGATCAGGCAGGCAGGCAGGCAGGCAGGCCAGCAGTTAGGAGTCAGTGGTCCCAGATTGCAAGAGGTATGTCCAACTGCCAGTTTATGGAAGGGACCTGCGGGATTGGGCCTAAACCGACAGTCGGACATCCCCCAAGGGATCCTGGATTGCAAGAAAGTGCAGGCCAGGCTGAGGGACCCCTCCCATGCACGAATTTCATGCACTGGGCCTCTAGTGTTACAAATAAAAGGCTTGTTTCTTATTGCCAACCATCCTGACATGATATCAGGTGTAAGGTGTGCTGACAGTAACTAAACTCTTTGGGTGTTTTAGTTTGAGTATTGATCTCCTTAAAAGTTGGGCTCTGATGAAATTATGTCGGTGATTCTGCTTTTCTATGATTCTGTGACTTTTCAGAAGGAAAAGTATGAGGAGACTTAATATGGAAGAACATGCCCTGAGTAAAAAATATGAGCCTAAATGTCCAATGCTACTGTGTGAATGTTTCCCCATGTTAAAGAGCCATGGTACCACTGCTCTGTTTTCTAATTTGTTGTTTGAGTCTTTCCAAAATACCAATGGAAACTAAAACACAGAACTAAAACAAATATTACTAAAATTTATATGGAATCACAAAAGACCCCATAGCCATACCAATCTTGAGAAAGAAGAACTAACTTGGAGGTATCACTCTACCTGATATCAAACTATAGTACAAGAACAAGTATCTAAGTATTCCATGGAAGAACTCATTTAATCCTCACAACCACCATATAAAGTAGATGCCATCTCCACCCTCCATCACCCTGACCCTGTTCACTTTTCTCAATAGCATTTACCACCATTAACACACACACACACACACACACACACACACAGTTCATGTTAGTACATGTCATTCCTTAACTCTGCAGATGTATCTTTCTTTCCTTGTTTATTCTTGGAAGTGGCCTTGGGAAAATTAGAATGGAGTGATGAGTCAAGATGTAATTTAACGGCAATCCCAGGAAAGTGCAGCATCTCATTTTTAAAGACTAGAAAATCCACTACATTCAGGGTTGCTAAGGGACTCACCTAGGAGCCTAACTTAAGTAGTGATGGGTTTTTTAATTCTCTGGTTTTCCATTTTCTGTCAGTAGAACTAGAATATCTCCTGAATATTTTTCTTTTTCATGAAAAACAGCATCATATACAGCAGTCCCTTTGGTGGAGAAGTGTCCTGGGGCTTGTGTTGGAAGGACTAAGGCAAACAGCCAGTTCCTCTGACAGCGAACGAAAGGTGGTTTCCAGGATGCTGTTTGCTTTCTTCCTAGTAATAGCCATTTGCAAAATGCGTGCACACAAAGATGACCTTCTTCACAGGATCTCTAAGAGTTCTGCATTTACTTCTAGGTTGTCACTACTGGGAAAGAACAACTAGATTTTGAAACAGGACCAAACATGTTTGATTTGCAGATTTATGTTAAGGATGACGTGGGTGTCACTGACCTACAGATCCTAACTGTCCAGGTAACAGATGTGAATGAGCCGCCTCAGTTTCCAGGCAACTTGGCAAAAGGTAAGATACACAGGGTGTGCCATGCAGCCCAGATGGTGGCATCAGGGAGGACCCTGGAGACGGAGCAAACCAGAAAAGTAAATGAAAAAGCAGCTGTTTCCCTGGGAAAGGCAGGTGCTTAATGTGCAGGAAATAAATAAAATGTCCCCCAGCCCAGGGCTCCCAGTAATAATGCCCAACAATTTACAAAGCCCTTCTCTTGGGTCTTTCCCAGTCCTGGGGAGGAAAAGGAGGCTCGGGACCTCACGTGGCTCATTCTGAAGGAATCTGGCCAAGCCCACCAGGCTCATCACTGTGTACTTCTGGTCATTGACTGACTTGTTCATTCTCCCCAAGGACGCTGACCCCTGAGAGCACTGTGTGCCTGGAATCGGCTACAGAGCAGAGATGACACTTAAAGGGATGGGAGCATAGGGTACCGTAAATTCCTGAATAATCTCCCCCTGGCTCATGGCTGTGGATGCCACCGAGTCTATCATTTTAGTCCAGGTTCTCCCCTGAACTCCACTCAAATATCCAAGTATCTCACCTAACATCTCCACTTGAATATTTAATAGACATCTGTAATATTGTGATTTATAATAAGAAATATATATTTGGTTTTCCTCCAGTTCCTGACACAAAGCTTCTAAAACCCTTGGCTTTTCTGTGATGAGTGTGATAAAGATATGTTTTGCTATGTTGATGACGTGATGTTTGGAACGGTGGCCAGCAGAGCCAATCCTGTGATTAGAGGGTTGGAACTTTCAGTCCCCTCCATCCCCCTCACACACTTTCCTCCCCATGCCCCACCCCCACCACAGCAGAGCGGAGAGAAGGTGGAAATGGAGTTCAATCACCAATGGCCAATGGTTTCATTAATCATGCCCAGGTAGTGAGGACTCCAGACAATCTAAAAGGGGTTCAGAGCGCTGCCAAGTTGGTGGAGATTCAGGGAGAGTGTGGTGCCCAGAGAGCATGGGAGCTCCGCGCCCTGTGCACTCTTCCATCTGGCTGTTCCTGAACTGCAACCTTTTATAATAAACCAGTCACCTAGTAACTAAAATGTTCCCCTGAGTTCTGGGAGCCACTCTGGCATATGACTCAAACTCAGTGAGGGCATTTCCGGAAGCTTAGATTTATAGCCGGTGGGTCAGAAGCATAGGTGACAACCTGGACTTGAATTCAGATGGATTTTCAGCTGATTTCGGAGAATTTCTTGGTGGTGTAGGAAAAACCCCACACACACTGGAGTTGGCTGCAGATGATGATATCTCAAACTTAATGTGCTCCCAATCCAAACTCTTGACTCCCACTTCAACCCCCTCACCCCCACCATCCCCACCCAAAGCTGCTTTTCTTGTCTTTCCCATTTTAATTAATGGCAACTCTGTCCTTCCAGTTGCTTGGACCAAAACTTCAAAGTCAATCTTGACTTTTTTCTGTCTTTCACATCCAACATCGAATCCATTAGGAAATGTTGTCACCTTGTAAATCTATGCAGAATCCAACTGTCCCTAGCCTCTTCACCGCTACCTCCATGGTGCAAGCCACTAGCCATGTCTCGCCTGAAGTACTACAATGGCCCGCTTACTGGGCTCTGCTCTGCCCTTGGTCCTACAGTTGATTCTCCATACAGCAGCCAGGGAGATCCTGTCAAACATCAGTTAAATCAAGGCATTCCTCTGCTTAAAACCCTTCAAGGACCTCTCATCTCACCCAAAAGGAGAGCCAGAATCTCCTTAAAGCCCCATCAAATCTGGTCCATACCACCCTCCCCACCTACCATGTTGTCTCCCACATGTCTCCCCCTCAATCCGCTGCCCAGCAGTCCTAGTCTTCTCGCCAATCGGTGAGCACCCCAGGCACAACCTACCACGGCATCTCTCTCGGCATTTGCTGTTTCCTCTGCCCCCTCCTGCTCCGTATCTCTGAGGCTCCTCTTCATTTCTCTTAGGAATCCTCATTCAGCTGACAATGACCCTCCATAACCACTCTATTGAATGTTGTAACCCAGCTCCCAACACTGCTTCCCTGATTTTTCTCTATAACATTGTTCAGTAACATTCACACATTTTACTCATTTATTATCCATATCTTCCCACAGATTTCAAGTTCATGGGAGCAGGATTTTGTGAACTGCTGTATTCCCAAAGTGTAGATCAGTGCTTGCTTTTTAGTGAGAACTCAGTGAATGCTTTTTTTTTTAAAATGAAAGCATGAGCAGTGATAAGATAGATGAAAGCTGAAGTCAGATGGCTTGAGTTTGAGTTTTGATTCTATCACTTATTAGAAGAGACAACCCAATAACTCCTATGAACCTGTTTCCTTGTTTATAAAGCAGAGAAAATGGCCATGCCTATTTTCTAGGGCTGTTGTGAAGATGAAAGGGGAAAACATACAGGGTGGGGCAAAAGTAGGTTGACAGTGTGTGTATGGAATATAATTCAATAGTTAATAAATAATAATTCGAGAATAAACTGTTTCGTGTACTTGCAACTGCAAACCTACTTATGCCCCCACGCTATACACTAAGTCCTCAGCACAGTGCCTTACAAAAGAGTGAGTTAACCTTCGCCTTCTCGCTCATCTCTTGACCAGAGACATTCTCAGAAAGAGAGAGGCCAGGGCAGAGAGCATGGTGGCCCTTGGGCAGGGCTGGGGGTGCCCAGTGGCACTGCCTGCCCCTCCCTCCGCATGAGCACCAAGAACTCTGAAGGAGATGAAATCATTTTTTGGTCCCTTTCCTGGGCCTCCCTCTGCAACCCTCTCTCAGCGGAAGTGAGTCCCTGAAATGAGAGGCCTCGTGATGGAACAGAGAGGCTGAGTGCAGGTCGAGGGGTAGCCTCAGCTCAGGTTGGGAGGAATTTACACATTAAAGGGGCTCTGAAACTTGGAGCAGCCTCAGCCCGGAGTTCACTTTTCAACTCTCTGTCCTTATCACCCCCCTCTCTCCCACCGAACAACAGAACCCCAGGTCACCTCTCTCTAGAGGAAACACGGGAAGACTTGATTACCAGCGAGGCCAACCCTGATACGTTGCTAATTCCCATAAAAGGATCCACTCCTGCAAGTTGGCCGTGGTCTCACTCATGACCTTTATTCTTGCTGCCCTCTTTCCCGCAGTGCCAACACACTTCATTTCCTTGGCTGTGTTTGGTTTCCTTTGGCTCACCTGGTTTGGGGATTTCTCATTTGCTTTATCTAATAAAATGTTTCTTATTCCACTGTGTACGTGGGTGTAGGTCTAGACCTCTACATAGTGGAAGGAGCAAACCCTGGATTCAGTTACCAGGTTGAGGCCTTCGATCCAGAAGATACGAGTCAAAATAAACCCCTCAGTGTAAGTCTCCTTGTTTAACCTGGAGAGGGGGCTGGCCCAGGAGCCTGGCGTCTCTGCAGGGTGGGCTTAGGCGGCGGTAATGAGAGAAATATGCTGCCAAAGCATAGAGGGCAGGGGAGGTGGGAACCGGAAAGGGACTCTGGAGACAGATGCCTCAGATTGGGCTCATGGCTCTGTGTGATCTTGGACAAGTTCTTAATCTCTCTGAGCTTCAATTTCTTCGTCTAATAAGAGCGCCTACCTCGGTAGGGGTACCATAAGTATTAGAGTATGCACGTAAGGCCACTGCACAGTGCCCGCCTAGCATATTAAAATTGCTCAGTGTTTCGTTTCTTTAATTCAAAGGTGATAAAAATCCAGCTATATTATTTTAAAAATAAGCATAAAATGTATCCTCCAAAGGCCTTAACATTTCCTTTTCAGAGATGAAGCCACGCTGCTTGGAGCCGAGTTAAAAAAAAGTAAAAATAAAAATAAAAAACGAGACCCAGGAATTCCAAAGAAAAGGAGGAATTCCATAGAGAAAAGCAGATTAGGTCCTGGAGCGTTGCTTCATGGTTCAGTCTCAGACAGCTGATCTCTCTTCTCTCCCTATAGAGCTCTTGTGACCACCAAACCTGAGGCAAAGAAGCCTCTTAGCTTGGCAAGGATGCCTCCGTGCCTAGCTCTGCCCCTTGAAGCTGGGCAGCCCAGGCGGGAGAGAATAATGCCCGTGGACTAACCTTGGAGCAGGCTACCTCCTGCAAACCCTGCCTTACAGCAAAGAGAACACTAGAAATATGACACTCGGGGAATTGGTAACACCAGGAGGCTGTTTCTGCTGTTGGCTGCATGATTTGCAGCTTCAACAGGACTGCTTTTTCTAAGAGGAGGAAGTGAGCCTTGGGAATAAACTCCAGGACCAATATCATGTGGTCCACTGGGTCTGAAATAGAGCTGTTTAAGATTATTGGATACATCTTAAGTTAGAGAATAGTCGATGTTATTATTAGAAGATATCCCTCTGTCAAAAAATAAAAGCAACTGTTAACAAATCCAAAAGACAATGGAGAGGAAAAGGGGGAGACTTTATTCAGGTAATAGTTCCTGAGCCACCAATTGGTCCAATTTTATGTAAAGGAGAATTCTAAATTGCACAGTTCTAATTGGTCGACATCATGCACTCTGATTGGTCATTATGGAGCAATTCTGATTGGTTAGTAAAGATGCAAATAAAGATATATGAGATTCTGATTGGATGGAGTAGGTTTCAGTCCATTGGTTGAAAACAAAAACTAGGAACTGTCTTGTAAAGTGAATTCAAACAGCAGGAGACCAGTGTGGGAGGTTGAAAGCTCTGTCTGAGATTCTTCCTGGTGTACAGAATATGTGAGAGCCTCTGTCAGCAGATGGCCACTAGACTGTCATTATTTATAAAAGCTGGGCCCTCAGTTGACTGTGGGGAGTCCATCGCAGCAAATAAATGTCTTTTCTGGGATCACATCAAGTGAATCTTCTCAGGATCCATACAACCCATTCATTTATTTAAGATTCTATTTACAGGAATAAGTAAACGAATATGCAAATACTTAATGGGTTTCTACTATGTGCTAAGAGCAATAATACTAGGTCCTTTAAATGCATACTTATTAATAACATACTTGTTATACCAGTTATAAATGTGTTTGTCTGAAAAGAACAGAAAACTTAACCACAGTGGCAGATACAGGATTTTCTTCTCCTATAAGAAGTTCAGAGACAGGTATTTGCTGCCTAGTTCAGAGCTAGCATAGCTGCTGCCATCAAAAACCTGGGCTCTCCCTATCTTTCTGCTTTTCCATCCAGAACATACGGGATTTGTTTACAAGATGGCTGCTACATCTCCAGCCTTTACTTCTAAGTTCCAGATAGGAAGAAGGAGAAGGAGAAAGAAAAGGTGGAGGAGAAGGAGGAGGAGGAACAGGAGTAGGGGAAGGAGGAGGAAGAGAAGGAAGAAGAGACTGAGGAAGAATAAAAGGAGGAGAAAGAAATTAAGAAAGGGCAGAGGGTGAAGGGGGCAGTCCAGGCCAGTCTGTCCCCTTTTTTGGGAGGAAAACAAAGACCTTCCTGGAAGCCCTAACCAGAAGACTCTGCTCACTTCTCACTGTCCAGAGCTCTGTCATAGGGCCACTGTTGCTTGATGGTGACTAGGGAAAAGGGGATTTTGGATGGAGATTAGGTCAGCAACCCCAAGTTATGCACTTAAACATTTAGTTCATTTCAACATTTACCAAAAATCCACTATGTGCCAGGTTTTCTATTAGCTACTTTGGACACAAAGCTGACTAAGACACATTTTTGTACCTCAAGAAGTTCACAGTCTAGATCAGTGGTTCTCAACCTTCTGGCCCTTTCAATACAGTTCCTCATGTTGTGACCCAGAACCATAAAATTATTTTTGTTGCTACTTCATAACTGTAATGTTGCTACTGTTATGAATTGTAATGTAAATATCTGATATGCAGGATGGCTTTAGGCGACCCCTGTGAAAGGGTCATTCGGCCGCCAAAGGGGTCGCGACCCACAGGTTGAGAACCACTGGTCTAGATGGAAGGCATTCAGCATACCCCAAATAATTATACTTCAATACGATAATTACTGTAAAGTTTGTACAAAATGTAGTAGGAGCAAAGTGGGAGGAACCTCAGCTGTAAAGGAAAATATTTATTTTTAGATATCCATTTGTACTATATTGTTCCAAATTATGCAGAAGGAACAAGGTCATGGTCCCTTTAAACCAGTGGTTCCCAACCTTGGCTGCACATTAGAATCACCTGGGAATCTTTTTTAAAATCCTGATTTCTGGGCCTCATCCTCCGGAAATTCTGTTTCTTTGTTGCTAATGTTGTGGCCTCACCCCATAACAAAGAAACAGAATTTCCGGAGGATGAGGCCCAGAAATCAGGATTTTAAAAAGATTCCCAGGTGATTCTAATGTGCAGCCAAGGTTGAGAACCACTGCTTTAAACATACCTCCTAGATCAAGTTGTCCCTTTCTGATGAAGGGGAGCTGTCCAGGTAGGGAGCAATGCAGCAGGTGTTGCTCCCTTAAAAGAAAATGTACTGCAGTCGAAAAGGGCGAAGAGCAGCTGCAGGGATGTGGCGCCTGGAACTGAGTGGCTTCTGCAGAGTTGGTGGAGGAGGGAGCACTCCCAGCGGCAGCAAAGTGTTAATGAGTATTTAACACCTGTGCTGGAATGAACAGCTGCGCAGAACGTTGACAGCCCGCCTGCAGGAGCAGTGAACATAATCTAGAAGGAAACTTTCTCAGGCTAGAAAAAGGTAGTAACAGTTTAGGAAATAACATACGATGGCCTTTGTGCTTCGACATTTTATTTTGGGCTCTTGGGGGTACTAAATGACATATTTTTGCTCTGTACAAGGAGAAAGGAGATGGGTTAATGTGCTATTGATCAAACCCGTGCTTTTCAACCTTGGCTGTAAACTGAAGCCACCAGAGGAACTTAAAAAAAGCAAAAACACCCAGATGTCTGGGTCCCGCCCCCTAAAAGTCTGATGTAATTGACCGGGAGAGTGACCCAGGTGTCAGCTTTAAAAGTGTGGCTCAGTGGTTGAGCATCAACCCATGAACCAGGAGGTCACGGTTCAATTCCTGGTCAGGGCACATGCCCAGGTTGCAAGCTCGATCTCCAGTGGGGGGCATGCAGGAGGCAGCTGATCAATGAAATCAGTAAAAACATATTTTTAAAAATTAAAAATAAAATACTTAAAAAAATAATAAAAGCCCCCTGGTGATCTCAGGTACAAACAGGGGCTGAGAACAGCTGCTTTGAAACAGTTTCCCAAATTTCCCAATTCTCTCAGTTTTGGATTCTGTGGGCCTGGGATGGGCCTGGGAATCTGCAAATTTGCCAAATACCCTGGGCAATTCTTCTGGTCAGAAAGGCCGGGAACACTAGTTTATGAGTGTTTCTCAGAGGGGTCAGGCCCCTGTGTGAGAAAATACATAGGCTGCTTTTTATAAATGCAGAGTCTTGGACTCCACATCAGAATGCTGAATTGGAACACTTCCCAGGTGATTCTGATGCATCTACCATTTGAGAACCACTGAACTGAACAAACAAGTACAGACTTTAATACACACCAAAGCATGTGCGTGAAGCCACTACGCTTGGTCTGTGCCTGTCATCTTACCCAGTGTGTCCCAGGAGTCACTTTGCTGGTGACAGCAACTAGCAGAGAAAGGATGAATTAAAACTTGCTCTAGGACATGTCCAGAAACCCCAACTGCTTTAAAATGACAAATCCTTATCCAGTGTAATGAAGTGAAACTGTGTCACAGAGGAAGTGAAATTGGGGCTAATGCAGAAACCACTGGTATTTCCTCGTTTTTAGAGAAATTCAAAGAGCATGTGGTTGTAAATTGTTGGGACCAGCTCTGCTCAATCAAGCTGGAATTTGACCGGAAAAGAATGCTGCATATATATAATTTTAAATGTTCTCGTAGCTCCATTCAAAAAGTAAAATGAGACAGGTGGAATTAATTTTAATATAGTTTAAGTCAATATGTCTGAACTATTATCATCTCAACATAGAATCAACATAAAAACGCTTTATGCAATATTTCACACCTCTTTTTAAAAAAAATACTGGAACCTTCTAGTCCGCAGGCCGACGCTCTATCCACTGAGCCAAACCGGTTAGGGCTCACACCCTTTTTTTTAAATGCAAGTCTTCGTGCAGCTCCTCTCCTTTCAGACCAGCCACACTGCAAATGCTCAGTAGCCACAGGTGCCAGTGGCTGGACAGTGCAGACTTTGAACCAGCACCAGCCCCCCTGCCCTGTGCACCTTCTGTGTTGTGATGGGGTGCAGGGGATGCATGTTCAGAGGCAGGCGTCGGTGGTGGGCTCAGAATATAAAGACACACAGGATGGTCCGTATGTGAATAATCATATCAGCATTTCTTCCCTGGACCGCCTCCCCCTGCCCTGTCTCCACCTCCTGAAGGAGGCTCCATGC